AAAAATGACCAGAGGTAGGTTGAAATCTCCCCCCCCCCTTTGGATACCAGGTTCTCCCATCTTTGGTGGTTCTGTTGTTGTTATTCTAACATAACAGTTGTGGATTCCCTTTTATCTACTTTCTGTGGATATCCAACTTCTTACTAATACCTCAGTCACAAGTTATGGTCCATCTTAAATATCACAGTATGTTGTACTCATGGTGTTTGAAGAAGGTCTAATCTCATATCAATCTTCTCAAACTTTGGGAAATCCATTAAGGTGCTCACATCTCTCCTTCTTTCAGGCTTTGCCATGCTTGCTCATTCAGACAACCTTGCTACTGTTTTGGACATTAACTGACAGGAAGCTACTCTTGGGCTGAAAAACATTTTGTGCAACTAATTTCTAGCTTAATATGTCAAGCCTGTCATGTTTAAAATAGTTTCTCTATGAGAGAACAGCAGTTATACCCAAAAAAATGATGTAACCCTGTTAAAAAGCTTTGTGTTTATGTTTATTTGACTTATTTTGTTTTAAAAAATGCTAAGTTTATATAGAAAACAAAGATTTCCACTTAACTTGGAAGTGGGTGTACAGCAAGATAAAGCTTAAGAAATGTTTTTTTCACCAAGGAGCAATAGCATATTAACAATAATTTTATGTAAAATTGGAGATGATAATTCTGATTTCTAGTAGCTAACAGTATTTGGCAAAGCCTTTATTCAGTTAGATTTTATAAAAATTTTATGTTTGTATAAATGTTTTTGAGCAAAATCATAGTGTATGTGCTAAATTGTTTGGCACATGTTTGTCTATAGGACATGTCTGCTGTTGTAGATGTTTGGCTCCACAATCCTTTTGCATGTCTATGTGTGTGTGTCTTGAAGTTGCACAATTTCACCCTTTGAAATAATTATATTTATTTATCAAAAACTTAATTTGATGGATGTGTTCAGAAATCAACTAAGAACAAAGACAAGAACTTTAGCATTTTTTATAATGCAGAATTACTTTCATAGTAAGTTTGGTATAATATTACATTAATTAAGAATGCACATTGTATATAAAATATTTTACATATATTTTAAATGTCACTTGCATTTGGTTTACACTGAACTGTGTATTACACTTGAACACAAATATGTATGAACATAAAACTACATACATTCTACATCAAACCCAATAAAGCTGATATATATAGATTGTATCCTTCCTACCTTTGTGAAGTTGAAGCACAATAATCTGTGAACTTCAATCACATGAGTTCATGCTTTCAGCATTAGAAACAGTAGTTGAATATCAAATAAATTATATATTTTATTAGCATATATAACCTAACTAATAACTAAAATTATTCAACTACATTGGGAGTCTGAATAATGGCACATTAGATGACAATTTCAGTTGTTTCAGCATAGATATATGAAATTGTAATATAAAGAGTGATTATCAAGGACATTTCACAGTTCAATATGTCATATCTCACAAATAGTATTGCATTGTAAAGTGAAATCACAAGGGTGTTAAGTGTATTATGTGGGTGGAAATGTTAGGTGTGAATTAGTAAAATTTCCTACACACTTCCATGTTGCAGTTGCATGTGCTCACACTTCCAGAAAGGCTGAAGTGTGCTTCATCAGTTCATAAGATATTAGCAGGCCGATGATCATTGACTTCTAGTCTTGCCAACAACTGCAACTTATAATCAACACATTGGGATAAAACTATCATCTTCAGTTCTTGAACATTATACACCTTGTAAGGAAACATTTGCAAGGTTGATCAAAGAGCTTTACAAATAGTTGAACTTTGAAGATCCTGACACCCAGGTGAAATAATGCTGCACTCTAGTATAGCTAACCTCAGCAAGAGTTTCAGTAGATGTTGTGGTCTGCCTGTACATGGCTTACCAAAAGTGGAACCTGTCATCTCAAGTTTGTTTATATACTTGCGCACAGCAACACTGGAACAAGGCAACACAGTGGATGTTATGCAATCTATGGTATTCCCTGAGAGTTGCTTCAACATTGCATCTTTTGGTTTTGTCAGCTTCATGTTGGTTTGATGAGCTGCACTGAGATCAATAAGCTCATTTATACCCATTAAGAATACACAGAAGCAACTGCTGTGGTGCCCCTTGTGGCAACATGTAACAACTATGGCATTTGCATCCACATGATACTGTTAAGATCCCTGTATAATTTCAACTTCCTATGCTGTACCATTTGTGAGATAGGACATGCTGAACTGCAAAACTTTCTTTATGACCATCTTGTAAAAAAAAGGCACAAATAGTACATGTAATCAACTTTCAAAACAGTAAAGTTTTAAACTGTAGCTCATACAAAACAAAGTAATTGAAACAAGTTAAGTATAGTTATGGTTTACATTGTATTTTATTGTAATTGAAGTACTGTTTACACATCTCTTAATGCTAAATATTGTGTGTAATATATAGTTCACAGTTTTATTCCAGACTGTAGTGGTTAATTTATGCATGTAACTTACTTGGTTAAAACATAACTGAAACCATGAACTACCATCCCTTGCAAAAACGAAACTAAGTGCAGTGTAAGCTTTGATAAAATATATATATATATATATATATATGCATTTTTGACAACTTAAGCTTTAGATGCTTATATGCAAATTACTTAAGTTTTGTTGTTAACCCTAAAACATTTAATTCCTATTTCTATAATGTCTCATGTAATTATGATTTCATCAAAAATTGTAATCTGGCTTTTCAAGTAGAAATTTATTTATAAAAAATTAGGTTTTTAAATTTTAGTAATTTTTTTAGAATTGATCATTAATTTGCTTACTTCTATTTCATATTCATTACAAGTAAGTCAAATACCATTTCTGTGTAAAACTTAAAATATAATACATCAAAATTGTTGTGATTTTCTCAACCACCAAAAGAAAAACATTAAAAGGTCACTGGAAAGTATTTTAATATATCACAGTTAAGTAGATGAAAACATTTGATTTAAAATCACATATTTAAGAATCAAGTAATTACACCATCACTAGCAGAATATTCCAGTATTGACTTCATATTCCTCACTAACCAATGTTTGATGCAGCATCAAAAATTGCATAGTAGTATTAGAAATACATAATAGGAATTTAGCCCACTTGACTCAGGTGATCTAGGAAACAACTGGATTCCTTTTTCATTTAATGACTGATTATTACAGAAAGAGGTAAATTGATTTGCAAACTTCTCTATGCTTTTTGTTCATGTAATTGTCCACAAATGAAATGAAGCATCTGAAAATGAAAAATAATGACCTTCCCCTCCCAATTATTTTTTAAAACCCCTACTTTTCATAACCCTATAAAATGTACACATGTTTTTATAGATTACTTGTTATTCTAATTACAAAAACTGTTGCAATGAACATAGGTAATGACTGGAACAAAATTTCAAGGTAAACATGAGCATCATGTAGAAGGTATTTTACAGACTGAGCTTTTACAAGATGATTGTAGGCATAGAACCAAAACCATTTGTCCATGTGGGATATTGGCATAAGTTAAGACAGATTCACAGAGTTAACTTAAGTGTCTGTTAGAACAGACTTCTTTTTAATGTACTTATCTCTTTAGTGAATGTTATATTTATTAAAGGTGAAAACAAATAATTGATTTTTAATATTTTTCCACTTTTTTTTTTGTCTATACATGAAGGTCTTTATCACTCATATTGAAGTCAGTTTCTATGTCCCACCTTACTTTTTGACATTACTTGTTTCCTTGTTATTGAACATAAGGTGCACATTCTTTATGATACTGATAAGGATGGTAATTTATCTGTGACACTATTCTTGGCTTATGGAGAGTGTATTTCAATCTTAGTAAAAAGTTGAGAGTAGACATTTGTATATTCCTTCTCACTGACCATCAACTTAACATGGTTTGTACTTGTACCATGTAGTGTCTTAAAGTGGGTATGATATAGCAATTTTGATGACCATTTTTTCTCTCTTCATGCTACCTCATTACATTTTTTGCAAAAATGTTCTTAACTATGGTCAAACTTTTGTCTATTCCAGAAATTTTTAAATACAAGTAACTTTATTTGCACATCTGGCACAATCAGATTGCCAATTTCAAGTTGATATCTGTGTTAGTTATACTATTGAGTGTGACAAACCCTGTTATTAGATTTTTGCAATTAAGTTAATAATCCATAACATTATTCCATTGGCTTTGGGTAAGCTAAGTATGGTACAGTATTTCACATGAGCACTTTTCAACATTTCTTGCACTTTTACTTTTTGATGTGGTATCTTGATGTGCTTTGGCTTTATTAGATTCTTAAGTTGTCTGGTGGGTGGATTGTAGGGCTTGAGTGGGAGATAGTGAGGACATACCATTTTAACATATATATACATATGTAATACTTCATAGAAATCCCATACATTATGTTTATCATATACCTTTGTAAATTTCTCTTGACTCACTTAAGGTTAGGGTGTTCTTTATAAGTACGTGAAGCTTTTTATATCCCACTAAAGAAAGGTTGCTGTTTCCATTATCTTCCAGATAGCTCCTCCTCTTCAGTGTGATGACTAGCAACTGTTTATCTGCACAACAATTACTTGAAATTGATGTTTTTTGGAATTGATATTTCTTTCCTTTTTTTGAATGTTGGGTTTGTCTCCATAAAAATGGTGTTCCAACCAGCACCAATTTTGATGTGTAGTATCTTAAATGTTTTGACAAGTATGTGAAGGTATGAACACACTGTTGATGATAAAAATCTGAAAATTGTGAAGCATGAGAATGAATTAGTAAAATACATGACATGACTAATGACATATTAAAAGTCACTGGAAAAATGCTAAAATTACCAGAATCACAAAGCTTACGTTACTATTTACCTACATTAACAATGTATATGGATTCCATATTTTTACTAAGAAACTAGAAATTTTTATGATTAAAGCCATCTAATAATGTGCTCTACCAGGAAAATGTTCTAAAGCTACTAAACATTATTTCTCTAGCAAACAATAAGCCAACATTCAGAACCTCTGAAAAGTGCATCAATGACAATGCCAACACCTGTATTGTCCAGCCATTCAGGACCACCACCTGCAGGAACACAGCAGCAACAAGTGAAGAAATCTCCAAAAGATTTCATATTTGGAAAACTAATTGGAGAAGGGTCATTCTCAATGGTAAGTTTAAATGTCTTGTAATTGAAAACTAGAAATAATTTGCACCAGATCAAAGGAAAATCATGCAAAACGTAATAGTTGTGTTATTAATAGTTAAAATTCATTATCAATTTCAACACGAAAAATAAACAGCAAAATCATATTAAAGAATTTTGTGCATTATATATGCATAATAATTCACTCAATGTGTAAGCTACTAATAATTTGATAGATAACTATATATATATATGTGTGTGTGTGTGTGTGTGTGTGTGTGTGTGTGTGAAGATGTATTGGAGAATTATAAAGGTATTTTTCCAATAATATACAAAGTACAAGCACATAACTAATCTGAACACATTTATGTGTTCACTCACTCACTAGGCTTACTAACTATATATTCAAGAATGTGCAGGTTTTCAGGTCTTCTAGTGAACCTTTGAAACCTGTTTTCATAAGCTTAGCCTATAACAACCTATTATTTGATGCTTTATTCTGTAAAAAGTTTACATTTACAGAAATAGAATTCTTTATCTTTATATAAAATGTAAAGGTCAGTTTATAGTTGTAGCTGTCATGCATGTGACCTAAAGCAGACACTCCATGGCCAGGTGGTTAGGACGCTCGACTCGCAATCTGCGGGTCGCGGGTTCGCATCCCCATCCCACTAAACATGCTCGCCCTTTCAGCCGTGGGGGCGTTATAATGTGACGGTCAATCCCACTATTCGTTGGTAAAAGAGTAGCCCAAGAGTTGGCGGTGGGT